TTCCGATCGCAAGCATTTTCAGGGCGGGTTCCGTATGCAAAAGGTGGAACGAGATCGTCACTTCCAGAAGGTTCTTGTGGAATTTCTCCAACACTGTTTCCCAGATACCTTGGTACTTCATGTTCACAAGTTCAGACGAGCCTTCAGGTTATGCCTATGACCCTATTCTCCGAAAATGGTACAGCATTGATCTTCCTTGCATCGAGAGATCCAACTGGTTTGTCGCTTCCTCTTGTGGGTTGGTCTGTTTCATGGACAATGACTGTAGGAACAAGATTTATGTCTGTAATCCCATCACCAAACAATGGCGGAGGCTTCTCGAGCCACCCGGTCACAGGCTGACAGATTACACCGCCCTTTCAGTGTCAGTGAACCGAGAGCTGCAGAGTTATTCAGTCTCGGTTGTGAGATCCAAGCAAGTGCCCGGGAATTTCTTCCAATGGGATCTGTCCATTCACATATATAACTCGGAAACGATGACTTGGGCAACATATGTAACAGATGTCCTGTCTGGATGGAGGGGCGGGGACGAGAGCATCATCTGTGATGGAATATTATACTTCTTGATCTACTCGACAGGGGGAGGAATGCCTGATCACCGCCATGGTCTGATCACTTTCAACCTATCGTCCCGATCTTCTTGTTCAATCCTGATGAGGACTTTCATTCCGATGCCGTGCTCTCTCACGTGCGGAAGGCTGATGAACCTCGGAGAGAAGCTCGTGATGGTCGGAGGAATCGGGAAACCGGACAGAAGAGACATTATAAAGGGGATCGGGATCTGGGTTTTGAAGGGGAGACAGTGGGAAGAGATTGCCAAAATGCCTCAGAGGTTCTTCCAAGGTTTCGGAGAGTTTGACGATGTTTTCGCAAGCAGTGGCACCGATGATCTGATATACATACAGAGCTATGGAGCTCCTACTCTTCTGACCTTCGACATGAACCAGAGGCAATGGAGATGGTCTCAGAAATGCCCCGTCTCAAAGAGGTTCCCGCTTCAACTCTTCACTGGTTTTTGCTTCGAACCGAGACTTGATATCGCTCCATAGTTTTATCTCTTAATTGTTTAGTTCATATTCTCGTCGGACCAAACCAAAGTCGAAATCCATGATATAGAAAAGTGTGTTACAAAGGGTATCCAAAATCTTGGGAGTTTTGTCCGATTGTCGGGAAATGCTTTGCACATGAAGGTAAAGTACCTGCAGAATGGCGGAGTTGTTGAAGAGTTCGGGAATATTGTTATTTACATTTTGGTACTTAAAACAGTTATTACATTTCATATCGGTACCAGAAGTTTTTATTTATCTGATAGGTCCACCAATCCACACGGTTGACACCTTTTTTTAGGTCGAGTACGGTAAAAGTCGAGAGGGGTCGGGTTTCTGAAACCAGGTTGTCTTGTTGCTGTCCCTGAAAATTCGATATATGTATATATCATATGAGTGAATTGAAAGAAGCAATTAAAATTGGTTGGAGTTTATTTAAATATGTTATTGCAGTATACATTGGTGTGGGACTGTCTGGAGCCATCTTTTGGTTATGGGATTTGTGGGGTCCGGCAGTCTCTGTCTTATAGGCCCATTGGATCACAGCTACGACAAGGAGCTTATTTCCGATATGTTTTTTTTTAAAGATAACCATAAGTTCATTGGAACTTCGTCCCATTGCGCTCCCTCTTCTTCATCGGTGGAATCGAACTCACGATCTTGAATATGATTTTGTTAGTTTTCAACCACGAACTGTTGGGTCTTTTCGATATGATATTTAATTCAATAAAAGCTAATCCAAGTAAACATTTTTTAGAAAGATATTTTTATATGCGTTTTCATCTGATTTATAAACGCAACCAACAATATATAAATAGATACATATACGGGGTTGCATGGGTTTTCTTTCCTTGTCGGCATGGGCTTTTCTGCTCGTGGGGGGCCTTATAAAGTATCACAGAACCCCATATTGTGTTTTGTCTTGGACTTCATCCAAATGGCCCAACTCCATTATTTCTTATTTATGCATCAAATTTTTTCAAACTATATATTATTATTCAATTGTCATATATATATATAGGCACAGGATTCAAACAAAAGATGTGGCATTTGAATTGTGGTTTTTGTCGAGGGGAAAATGGCATCCTTTTCACGACACGTGTCATTGTAAATTTGATCATCAAAGCCCATGTTTTGTTGGTCGAGGGCGTTAAGATATTATCATGAACATAGTTGGTCAGCATGAAAAGATATATCTTATGTTTTCACCCATTTAACCTCATAACCACTCTATTAACCTACCTCAATCCCCAAATTTACTAGTGGTAAAAACATGGTTAGTGCCGTAATCATCACCGTTTTAACTTTTTCCCCACAATAAATGTATTCCGAAACAGGATTTGATTTTTCTTATTAAATCCATCACTCTCCGAAAATATATGGGAAGTGAGTGAGTGATTAGGAGGATGTAAATGTAAATTAGGAAGTTTAAGAAATTTACGCTATAAATATTATATTGAAAATTTACGTAATAACAAGAAGTATACATAACATTTTACATCTTTTCTAAATAAAAAAAATAAAAAACATATTACCATAAAAATATATGTATTAAAAAAACATTTCATATTTCTCACAAAGACGCAATAACAGTGCGGATCCAAAATCTAAGGCTTTGTTGGGAGTGGCGTAAAGGTCAGAGAGTTACACAACACTCTTTGTCGGGGAGCAAGAGACACCTCTTCTTGTTTTTCTACGCATGTTTTTTGGCATCAAATATGAAACCGAAAAAAAAAGTTTTTTTTTGTGTGGACGAGGTGATTGTACGGTGGGCCAATCACAATAGTAAAACTTTGTAATCCGAATGAATTTGAAAACTAAAACTTTATGGTCTTTTGTTATCATTATTCATTAAAAAGAGTGGTATATCCATTCCGTATAACGGGAATATGAAACGGAAGAATATTATCTCAATTCGATGACTCCAGCGGTTTGATTAAGAAATGCAAATGTTGTCCGAAACAGAAGGTTGAGAAAAATCAGCTAAAAAACGTCAATCAAAATTCGTGCCCTTGTAATTTAAGAAAAAAAAATGCCATTCAAGGATAAAACCCATAATCCATTTTTTAAAATTAAACCGCAGACGGAGCAGAGTCATCGGTCCTGTGCCCGACGAACTGCCAGAGAACAAAAGATCCGAACTTTTAATTAGGTCAGAGTGCAAAACAGTCGTCTTGTTCGAGAGGATCATCCTCCTCCATCTGGGTTTCCTTGGCTTAATTGGCTTTACAAGAGACAAAGAAACGAACAGGAAAACAGGGTAAAAGTTTGAAAATTTTCGAAGAGAGAAAGAGAGATGGTGAGAGAAGAAAAAGTGGGGGAGAGAGAATGTGGAGGAGGAGGAGGTGGAGAAGAAATGGCGAAAAAGTGGAGAGAGTGTTTGTTGGTGGGCAATAGGTATAAGAGAACCGGTCCCTCTACTCCCCCACCCAGTTGGCGCCTCCATTTCTCTCCACCGCCGCGAGACGGGGCTTCCGCCGCCGTCGATAGTAAGGAGTTCCTGACGAATCCGGCGACGACGGCGGTTTCTGCCCGGAAATTGTGCGCCGAATTGTGGGAAATCGAACAATTCCGGCCACCGATCATGCGGAGAGATCTTCGTAAGCTTGGGCGAGTTCGTCGCCGAGATAAGGTTGAAGAAGAGGCTTCTGATACGGAAACACTGCATGATGGCCCTCCTCATGATCACCAGGTGCCACTTTCACATCTTTTTTTTTGGTAAATTCGATTAGTTTAATGCTTTGATGGGTGTATGAGGGGTATAGTCTTCTGGGTTTTGTTTGTTGTAAAACGCCGGAATTCTTCCGACAATTCCACCGGAAAATCTCTTGACAAGAAATATGGTTTCTCGATGTCTAGTTTTTGGTTTTTCGTTGTCGTCGTGTTGGAGAAACTGATGCTTTGTGCCGAATTTCATTGCAGAGGGAAATCTCATCAAAGCTTGGTCCTGATCATAGACAGGTCCAGAGGAATGGCCATGGCGTCCAACCAGTCTCTCCCGCAAGTTACAGCAGCTCATTGGAGGTAAAGCCTTGCCCTTTCTCCCACCAAACCAAGTGTTCCGAGAAAATATGTCTCTGCGTTTTGTTCTTGGATGAGAGTTTGACAAGGTTGTATGCATTTGTGTGTTGGTGTTCTTTGGAATGCAAGCCCCCGAGCTATAGTCTGAAAACCTCGACGAAAGTTCTCAAGATGCTGAA